CGTGTCCTCTCGCATCTCTTAACACCTGATGCTGCCAGTCAGGATGCGTCACAAGTAATGCCTCCTACCTTGTGGTGTTGTGTGAGGAGGATGAGTAGGAACTGGTGGTGGTTTTTAGAAAGGGACGTGGCAGGGACCGAGGGAGCCCGAGTCAACAGGCAACGTCCATGCTTGCCGAAGTTTGGACCGTCCCTGTTGCCTTACTGCTTTGTGCTGGCCAGAAACTAGCCCTTTCGCTGGCTTGTGTTTGGAAGAGTGGCGTCTTAAAGCCGGCTGTGACGGCCGCGTTGGGGAATCCCGCCTCATCTTCAAACGTACGGAGCACCGGGAGTGTTTGGCCTAAAGGCAGAGTGTGTAGCTAAGAAAGTTAAGAGCTGATTTACCTTCTTTGTCTGCCACTAAAATATGTACGTGTTCTGTGGAGTAGCGCAGAGCCCTGGCAGTGTCAGGCTTCAGAGGGGCTGTGGGTGATGCTTCCTTCCCTCCGCACGCATTCTTTCATGGTGTCTTTTCGTTCCAGGCTCACGCACACGTACAGTCAGCTCCTGAGGGAGAATGAAGTCCTCCAAACTGACCATAAGAATCTGAAAACGTTACTGAACAATTCCAAACTGGAACAAACGCGATTAGAAGCAGAGTTTTCCAAACTCAAAGAACAGTACCAACAACTGGATATTACGTCAACAAAACTAAATAATCAGTGTGAGGTATGTGAGAGTTGTCCCGTGACTGGTGTAGTATTTCTAGACGTGTGTTTGCAGGTTCGTAAGCTCGTATGACGTGCCTGAGCGTCAGCCGGTTGGTTTATCGAGCATGAAGTGAGTCCGAGGACAGATTCATTTGCCTGTGGTGTGGGCAATACAGAAATGTGGCTGGTGTTAGGTAAACTGTTCTCAGATACTCAAAGCCTCAAGGAGGCTTTTGTCAGTTGAGTTGCGATTTTATGAGGTTTTCTGTTTGGTTTGACAGTCCGAATCCCCTGCAGACCTAAATTTTGTCGATAATCTCATTCTCCGTGTGTACAGTATGCTCACCTATATATGCGTGTGCCACTTCCTCTATTTTCACAGCTGCTTAGCCAGCTTAAAGGAAATCTGGAGGAGGAAAACAGACATCTACTAGATCAAATTCAGACATTAATGCTACAGAACAGAACACTACTTGAGCAGAATATGGAAAGCAAGGATCTCTTCCACGTGGAGCAAAGGCAGTACATGTGAGTTCTTAAAGCGACAACGTTCCTGTGACAGGGCAGTTAGGCCAATACCTGTGTGGTTTTTTTAAAAGCTTCTGTTCTGTATAGGCATTAACGTGTGCTACTTCTGAAATGTTTCTCTTTCCACTAAAAATGTTAATTATACATGAAAAGCAAATAACACAAACTCCAAACATCGTACTTTTTAGTTCTGGAGGATCAGTGCAACGGTGTTCGTTACTGATGATGCAAATGAGGATTAAAAATGTTAGTTATTCCTCATTCTATCAGCAAAGTTCCTAGGTTTGTCTGTAATCTGTCCGTTTTTTCAGCAAATGTGAGAGAAGGGAAAATGTGCTTGTCAAAACGATCCTGTTAGAGCCTGTATGCACTATGTTATTTTAAAAAAAGGGAGAGATCCTGTGGTGTAGTGAAGGCAAATGGAGATTTTTTTTCAAGGGTATGTCATACTGTTAAACGTAAGACTGCTTGTTTGCTGTCTCCCTTGATCTGTCAATGAGAAACCAGTGTTAGGAGAACTCCTCATGATGAGCGACAACTTCCAGATAACCCATATCCAAAGGAACGTGCTGCTCACACATTTCATAGGCGTCTTGGAGGCATACATTATCACTAATTTCTGTTTACAGTGACAAGCTAAATGAATTAAGGCGACAGAAGGAGAAATTGGAGGAGAAGATAATGGATCAGTATAAATTTTATGAGCCATCTCCGCCAAGAAGGTACCGATTAACGTGTTATAAAAATGAACCCAAATCTAAAACGCGGCATACCTATTCTGTTCCAGCTGAAAAGCAAGATTTTGTTAACCTTCAGGGGAGCAGAATCGTGTCTGTGTTCTTGCGTACAAATTAGGAAAAGGCTGAGGGCATCGGTAACGTATTACAAATGTACCATATTATTGATGACAGAAGGGGCAACTGGATTACTCTGAAAATGAGGAAGCTGATAAAGTCGAAGAAGGAGGTTAATCGAGAACGGTTGAAGTCCGTCACCCTTACGCCCCCCCGTTCAGAATCCAGTGAAGGATTTCTTCAGCTGCCCCACCAGGACAGTCAGGATAGCTCCTCGGTGGGCTCAAACTCTCTTGAAGATGGCCAGACCTTGGGGACCAAAAAGAGTAGCAGTGAGTACTGCAAAGCATTGTTTTCTTTTGATAATCCTTGGCTGAACGTCTTTTGGGTACGATTGAGAATGAAGAGGTGCTCGGGACAGGCTGTGTGCTTTGCATGATTTTTCAAGACAGTTACTAAGGTCTTTAGGAAAGCCTGAAGTCATGTATTAATGACAGATTTACACTGACTTCTCGCAGGCTGCTGGCGTGTTTGGGCAGGAACTAGTTTTTTGTGTTTCTGCAGCTCGAAGTGTAACACTTGCAGTGCTCGAGTAGGATGAAGGCAGCACTGTTCCTGGGGCAGACGAGCAGGAGCGTGGGTAGGGTGTCAGATGCCACCACTCGTACCCTCTGTTGTTTCTCCCTCTTGTCCCAGCATGAATCCTTCCCCCTGTCTTGGAAGTCCTTTCCAAGCTGTGGCTGTGCTAACATCCTGTAGCTGCCATAAAGACCTTCCGCGGGCAGGTGTTCCGGCAGCACCTTGCAAAGCCAGCGGTGGAGAATGGTTTTTTTTTAAGAGTTGATGGAGAGACATAACCTGTTAAGCAGATGCGAGTCACCGCTGAACCCAAAGATGAGCGCTAAGCGGCTGAGAGGGAGACTGAGGAGGGTTACGGAGCTGTGGAGAGATGGAACATTCCAGACCGAATTTGCTAACCTTGACATCATGTTAGGATGCCCACAGTACAAAAGGCCAAATTCTGTGCAACATGTACATTTATTATCTATATTTTTCGTTATCCACTCTTGGCCTGAATCATAAACTACCCAATTTCTCACACCTTGACAGATAATATTACCAAGTCATCAGGTCATAATGGTTCTATTTAATAATTATGCACCAAAAGCATTTTGGCTGCATATGTAAAAGCATCAGAATGCGTGGGTTTTAGCAGTCACTTAAAATCTTTGCGATGCTTATTTTAAATATAATGGCTTGGGTCTCAAAAGACAGCACACTGATAGGCTGGATTTTGTCCCAGCTGTGAATTTGCTGTGTTAGAAATTATTAAAGCCATTATGATGTTTTTTTTTTCTTCTGTGCTTATTGCAGAAGCTTAGTCAAAGTTAAAACCATCTAAAACCACTATTTGGGGGAAACTTAAAATCGGTTTTGTAAGTATTTTTTAATGACTGAAGCAAACAGTAAGTTTGAGGGTACATTTTATCACTGTCATCGCTAACCTGTTGATTGGGGAAGCTGAGCGCTTCTCGGTGTAAGGGCCTGTTAAGGTTCACCAGGTACTTCTGGGTTTTTAAAAAAAAAAAAAGCAACTGTCGCTTTTACATATCAACTGGAAGCCTTGTGGTGTTCAGGAGCGACTGGAGCTGTAGCGGGTGTGTTGGCAAGTGCCCTAGTTTGGGTCGAGAGTGTGCGCGCTTTGGTTCAGCCCATCTCCATCTGTGTCGCCGATGCCGTGTTCCGGAAGGGCTCGGCCCATCTGCGTCCCATGTCATGTTCCGGAAGGGCTCCTACGTGCCACTGTTCTGTGCATGATACTTGGGACCTTGTAGCGTGCAGTTACCCTCCCGCTGGAACCACGGTGGAAGTTACGGTGGATGATCCTCAAAAGAGCCTTGAGGCTGTTGAGGCCTCATTAATTTTCTACTCCATGGGCCTTGTACATGTTTCCCTTAATCCCAGTGTATTTATCCACAAACTGGAAGGGCTGATCTAATTCTGGATCCTAACCTTCCTCCAGTGCACGTGTTGCCATGGAAACGGCAGGTTTTGCTAGAATTTGGATGAATTACGTGCCGAGTCAATGCTGACAATCTTACTGAGACAGTTTGCGTCTCCGAGCGCCGAGGGTATCCCCGTGTGAGCAGTACCGGCGACGGGGTGCGTTCTGTAGCCTATTTCTTCTGCTCCTAGACTGTCAGTCCTAACTATCAAGATGCTGTGGCCGCTGTCTTCTCGGAGAGGTGGCTTGGCAGTAGCGACTTCCACTGAAAGCAGCCGCAAGAAAGAGAAAACCTGTAGGCTGCGAGCGCCTAGGTGGTGCAGCGTTACACGCTGGGCGAGGGCCGGTTTGGGTGCAGAGAGCTAAAGCTGGCTCAGCTAAACTTGGGGTGTCCTGGTTGTTCTGCCCTGGCTCTGCCGTGCCGGAGTTCTTGGCAGGACGTTTCCGTAGTCACGCTCTATGGAGAAACTCCTTAGGTAACTCCTCCTCTCGAGGCAGCTGTGTTTCACCAAAGGAGGTAAAGGCACGATTGGTACCTCAGAGGTGCTGAGGTACGATTTCCGGGACGTCAGGAGTTGCAGTGAAGTTTTCTGTTCCGTACCCTTGCCAAGAGCCATAAATCAGCCCTTTTGGGGATGATCTGGGTCAGTGAACAAGAATTACACCCGAATGATTCCCAAACATCCTCTGGTTACGTTTCAGTAAGATTAGGGTGGACGTTTTAGTGAAGAGGGATCAGTTATCTTGTGTACAAAGGATAATAGAGGGATCAGTTACCCACAAAGGAGTCTGGAGGTCACAAAAGCATCTTGTTTCACCACAGCGACAAAAAGCAGAACCAGAACAGAATTACCTCCTTGGCTGGGATGGCATTAGTGCTAAAACTGTTCCCTTACCAGTTAGAAACCCGGACTGCAGCCGTGCCTCCCGTGCCCGTGGCAGGGAGCTGTTGTGTACTTTCGCACCCCCTTCGGCAGGCGACAGGCCTGTCTCCTCCCCGGGGTTATTCTGAGCTAGCCAGCAGCTATGTTTGTGTTGGGTTTGGGCTACGCTGCTTCCACAGCCACGTAAATAAGACCTTTTTGGTCATGGCATCAGGTCTCTCTCTGGCTCTTCGCAGGCCGGTTGTTTGCCTGTGGCTCCCATACGTGGCCCTTCAGGGTGCGGGTGGCTGCCAGTAGCCGTTACCCATGTGGAGGAGCTGACTCGAAGGACAAGATTAACTTGTGGTTCCCCCCCCCCGCCCCATCTTTTAACACTCTCTGTAATTGTAACGCTGTTCCCTAGTACTCCCTACCTCGGTTTTCTCTTAGCCCTCCCAAAGCGTCACAGCGACGCCTGCATTTGGATTTTGGTGTTATTTTTCAATCTTCAGTGCCTTTTCAGCTAAGAAATTTGGAGTATGCCATTCCAGCCAATAAATCCCGATTTTATTTTTCTTATTGCAGATGCGGAGTGGATTGTTTCAGGAAAATGTTCAAGTCACTGCACACAGACAGTGGCTCGAGCATAAGGTCCATGTAGTTTTTCTGCAAGACAGTAGATGAGCGAAACTGTTAACGAGCACAAAACGTAACCGGTGAAGACTGAGAATGGATTGTGTCCTACTAGAGACGCAGGGCAGAACGTTACAGAAGTTGTTAATCTCAAAAAATAACGATGGGAACATATTTGAAAGTTGAAGTTGTACTTAGAGTTCCTTTCATTTCAAGTTTTTTGCTTCAGATTTTTCCTTATGTTCAAGAAATGTTAGTTTTCGCAGGAAAGACGTTATAACCATCGATTTCTATGATCGTCTGCACAAGTTGCATTTCTTTCCTCAAGAGCTTGGCCGTTAGAACTTTCAAGCTGTATTACACTCTCCACCATTATTTCCGGTGCATTTCTGAGTATATGAAAGTTTTCATAGTGTAGTTTTCATGTCTCAGTGTAGTTTTCATATTTCATTGTCACGCAGAAGCATGAGAATGACAGTTTTTCGCGTAGCGTACATAGCTTAAACTCAGACATTCATTTCTGTCCTTAGTTTCAACATTTAACTTCCATCTGTTCTTCTCCCTTTTTTTCTTTCATTTCCCTGTTTCCGTTTTTCCTCATGCTATGACATAAAAGTGGTTGCACTGAAAAGACTGCCCTTTTTGAGGAACAGACCGAAGGAAAAAGACAAAATGAAGGCCTTCTACCGTCGCTCCATGTGTAAGACTTTATGACAGTTCAGCTTCTTTTAAATGGCTACACTGGCTTCCATTACTAATTTTTCACTAACCTCTTCCCTGGACTGCGCTGTCTTTTTGCTCCTGTTATGCAGTGTGCAAGTCCTGCTACAAGACAAGGAGCTGGAGCTTTTTTTTCCAATTTTTTTTTTTTTAAACCCTCGGCACTGAATACTTTATATATGTGCTCATGCGCACGCACGCGTACCCACACGTTTACACGCACAAGCACCCGCACATACATACCTATTCAGTGCATTGTGACTGCATATATCCGTATACGTGGCTGTCTATATACACGTCCCTGTGTATATACATTTACAGTGCACTGTGTTAACCTAAGTGGTTCCAAATTACCCATTTCGTAAGCCCTTTGTTACGAAATCAGCAATTTTTGGTTCTAGAAAGTGCAGAAAATAGCGCAAGGCTGTATGGTGGTCTGTCACTCTCCAAGTAGTCGTCACTTGTTGTTGCCACGATGTTGTATTGATTGATTTCATTTTATCTTTAAACGAGGGGGGGATGCTTTTCTCCAGTTTTGTGAAGTAAAGGTGAATATCGTCAGATGTCATCTTTTCAGATCCTTTTACTTGCTGTGACGTAAAAGGCAGTATCCCTGCAGTACCCTGCACTGTACAAGGATCCCGTATCGTTGGTCACATTATGTGGTGTTAGCGCCTTTGCCCACTCTACCCCGACTCATTCCATTTTACCACTGCAAACAGTGTATCAAAGCTGCTAACACCTATGTCGCATATCACCGCAGCGCAAGCATGGCGACTGTACCCAGTAAGACTGGTTTTAAGAACCGCACTGAGCTGAAAGAAGTCTCTGACTCGTAACACTTCTCATTCATTGAGCTGATTGCATGTCGTAACACGGATGACCTTGTGTTTGTATCTTCCAGTATTCAGTCCGCTTTAATGCTTAGAAAACTGCCGAGCGCTTTGCAATACAGAGTAAGACCAGGAGCCAAAACATTGACCATGCTGATCACTTGCTTTCATTTGCATCCCAGCCATGAATGACCTGGTGCAGTCCATGGTCCTGGCAGGAGGACAATGGACAGGTAGTTCTGAGCATCTGGAGGGTCCTGATGATATATCCACGGGTAAAAGGAGGAAAGAATTGGGAGCTATGGCCTTCTCTACCACAGCCATCAACTTTGCAGCCGTCAACTCTTCTACAGGCTTCAGATCCAAGCAGTTGCTAAATAATAAAGGTATAGGTAGAAGCTTGTTGCGCCGTGATGTGACTGTGTGTAACGGCAATTTCACATACGTGTCGGTTTTACTCGCGTTTTAAGCTTTTCAGCACAAAGCCACCTTAATAACTGAGTTGCAGTGCTCAGATACTGAGTAGGTTTAAGAACTGCAGCTGTAACGTGTTTCAGGATTTTTCCTACCTAAGAAAAAACGGATTGGTTTGAAAAAAACTGTGTTTTGCAGATGATAAATATTGCAATCATCCTTTTTGTTTTACTTGGTTTTACATCTTCTCTTATGTCTCTGTGTGTAGATACTACATCCTTTGAAGATGTAAGTCCACAAGGTATTAGTGATGATTCTAGCACAGGATCAAGAGTTCATGGTAAGATGTGAACTTTAATTAAATGAATTAAGGATATATTATGTGAATGTTAACGAAGTTTGCAAAAAGAAAGAGCGAGTGGGATTGTACAAGTGAGCATGCTTTCTGTGATTTCGTGTCTCTTGAATGTACAGTATCACTTCTTCAGATTACTCTTTAACTGCTGCCTCACGTGGATGTTCTGTATCTCTGGGAGACAGTATCGACAAAGTGCATCTGAACAGGATCAAAACGTTTTCCCTTTTAAAAATGGATTTGGCGTTAATATTAAAATAAAACGAGTTATAATTTCAGTCCTAAAAAAACCTCAGATCCAAATCTGGCCTGATTTTTTAGTGTTTGTTGTTCATCGTGTAGGGTGTTCTGTGAAATCGTTACACGTTCCTTTAAGCAAAGCTGTGAAGTGCAAGCTGTAACGGATTATTTAGACGCTTTAACTCAGGTTTAAACGCCTCAGATTGGCATGAGCAGCAAACATTCTGAAGGTAGTAACAGTGCATTCCCCTTGCATTGGCCAGGAGTGCAGGACATCATCTGTGCAGATGCTCTTGCTCCTCCTGTTCGTGGCATTTCAACCGTGTGCAAGGTTCCTTGTCAAATCTGTTGTAAGTCACCCAATGCCAGCAGCTTTCTGCGTGCCCATCCTTTCATCCGTAAAACCCTGGTTTCCCACTAACTGGTTGCAGTGCTAAATGTAGACTCTGCTTCTCTGTTCCTCTCCCTTGTACCTTACTGTTCCCCATGTGCCCTTTTTTAAAGTGTCCTCTTGGACTGCCTGGAAATCCCTTCGCTTTCCGATCCGTAAGAAACCTCTGTGGTGAGAGTGGGCGTGCTCAGCCTGTGCGATAGTGCATGATTCCTGCCGCTGAGCATTCTGGGAGCAGAATGTCAAGGTACCGTGTCATCTGCCGCTGTTCTGTTCATCACGGTGTCTCCTGATTTTTCCGTTCAGCTTCCAGACCAGCCAGCCTCGACAGTGGCCGAACATCCGCTAGCAACAGCAATAACAATGCTTCGCTCCATGAAGTCAAAGGTATGCCGCAGGGGAGGTGGCCGCCGTGCTTCGCTTGCGTTACCTTCTCTGTAAAATCATCTGCGGAGGGTAAAGAAAAACAACGCAGGAGATACGGAAAGGGCGGTATTAGGCTGTAAGGTACAAGCTAGTCCAAACCAGACCTAGCTCAAGGAATGATGCTAAAATACAAGAATTTATTAAATTTTCATTTTTAAAATCGCTGATTTTGAGCAGAGAAGTTGCTCCACTTTTTTCTCGCAGCATCCTACCTCATGTGCACTGTGAGGCCATGTAGGGCACAGTGCAAACCAGACCAAGACGCGGGTGCTACCTTCCCGTGAAACTTTACATTTTGATTTTAAAAGATTAATAACGTTCCTGGGAAACTGCTGGGGAAGCAGCATTCCTAACTAGTTCTTGTTCAAGAAAATCCTTTCTTTCCATTCCATCCTTTGTATTTCATTTCATGCGAAACTCCTCAATAGCTGTGAGAGCATGTGCCTCGCAGTGGTGCTGACCAAGAGGGGAGGCGTGGATTTAGCCTCTTGGAATGCAGGAGAATGTAGATGGTGGCCCAGATTCTAAGGGGAAGGGAGAGGGTTTTTGTTCCGAAGCTATCACGTCGTGTTTACAGAGCCGTGAGAGGTACGGCGGGGGAGTGCAGCTGTATTAACAATACATTGGGTTTGAGTAGAAAAGGACAACTGGATTTTTTTAGTATTTGAGATGGAATTGTTTTTAACGGAGTCTGATCACGTGCCACGTGTGAGGAAGGTTGTACTGTTCAACAGCTTTCAGCAATTTTTCTTACGGAATACCTGATACCCTTTGCCCCAAAAGCAGGTGCAGTTCACAGTCAAAGCAGGCCGCAGAGCCACAGCAGCGGAGAATTCAGCCTGCTGCATGAACACGAGGCCTGGTCTAGCAGCAGCAGCAGTCCCATTCAGTATCTGAAAGGTCCTACGAGGTCCAGTCCTGTGCTCCAGCAGAGAACGCCCGAATCGCTGGACAGTCGTGGAAAACTGACCAAGGCCGGTTCCCCTGGAAGTGAAGTCGTTACCCTGCAACAGTTTTTAGAAGAAAGCAACAAGAGCACCTCAAGCGAGGTTAGTCCAAAAGATGCTCTGAGTGTTACCCTGTATGTGGGCACGGAGTGAATAGAAGAGTTATGGGGAGCAGAATAGCTACACCAGTGGAGATACTGGTTCCGCCTGCGTTACGTGGTAGTGTGAGCTGCGTCCTGGTACGCCGTACTTGCTGTATTGCACACAGAATCAGTTGGGAACTTCACAGCTTGACCCTTTCGGGGTTGCTGAATTCGGTAAGAACGCCGATCTCTGCTGCGCAGAACCGTTCAGGGTGCTGGTGCCTGGCACGCTCTGGGAGTTCCGATGGAAGGCCGACAGCTACTTCCCTTCCAGCAGTTACCTTCAGCAAGGGCTGTTGTCAGCTCTGTCTTGGCTCAACAGGAAGCAAGATGCTTTGTGTCTTGTCTGCTTCGGTTTCACCTTTTTAACTCTGCTGGGCAAAAAACCTGACCCCGGAGCTCAGTCAGATCTGAAAGGAGTAACTCAGCGAATGGCTCTCTGCATCAGTGAGTTTGTTAGCAGCCCGGAGTCACCTTGTCTCTCCTCGTGTTCTGACTTCTTCGTCGCTAGTTCTTGAGTATCTCTCCGATACCTGGAAGTGCTCCCGGATACAGCAGGCCAGTTACTGCGACTGTCAGGAGCAAGGATCAGACTCCCGTCTGTTTTTAATGACACAGCTGAAAAGGAAAAGTACACCTTCACAGCTGAATTGACTGGGGAGGTGTGGGGTAGCGACTCGGGTCTGGACTGTTTCTGGAAAGACTGGAGTCCTTCTCCACGGAGTCTGTAAATAGTATTCACCTAAACTCTTTTCCTAGCTCTTTTCTCCAAAAGGAGAAATTTGAGAGCTGTCCAGCCCAAATTTAGGCACCAAGTGTGCCTGAAGGTTGTGGGCTTGGTAGTACTTGATCCTCCAAGGGCTGGAGCACCTCTGCCATGGGGACAGGCTGGGAGAGTTGGAAGGTTCAGCCTGGAGAAGAGAAGGCTCCTTATAGCACTTTCCAGTGCCTGGGGGGGCTACAGGGAAGCTGGGGGTGACTTTTTACAAGGGTCTGTAGTGACAGGACAAGGGGTGACGGGTTTAAACAGAAAGAGGGAGATTGAGATTGGATATCAGGAAGAAATTCTTCCCGGAGGGGGTGGGGAGGCACTGGGACAGGTT